TATTTCCTGAATTCGTGATGTTAATATTTAACGCGATTTGTTAAGAACTGCTGAAGATTTTATTTCATGATCTCAGGTAGAAGAAAGTTTAGAGCCCTTTAACTTCTTTTAGATATTTATTTTTCAAGTTCTATTATGACCTAGGGATAGACAAGGTTGGAAAAAATTATAGGTTCTTTATTTACAGAGCTAACATTTAAATGCAATTGTATTTCTGTAGGTAGATAATGCAAGTACGTTAAAATGTTGTACATTACAGTTGTAATATGAATAGAGCCTTAGTTCTTTTGACAACATTTTATTTTGCTATATTTTCTTTGGAATAACATGATAGGCTAATTGAAATTAACTAAAAGATAAGTTAATTTGAACATTTAGTTAACATTATGTTTATCAAGGTATTCCCTGTTTAACATAAAGTTTTGGAGTACGAATTACAATATTTCTTTATTATTTATTAGACTTTTTTGTGATTCCGGGTTGTAAGGCCACAAAATAAGAAACATTTCCATATCAATGACATAAAATTAAGCAGAAAGATAGTATTGACGTCAAATGATGTACATAGAAACAGTGGATTGTTAAAAAAATAATAAGTTATTCGTTATTTTTTGAGTCGAGACACTGGTTATGCGATGTTCAAAGAATAATAAAAGAACAGACTTCTCAGACCTTATAAGTGATAAGATTTTTTACCTACCTAACATAATGATAATTTTTATAATTGCTTCAGTTTAAACTGCTGCCATCTATAGGTAAGGCGTTGTCAACTGTCATTTTGTGTCACTTAAATTTAAATAATGATGGTTTATTGTTCTTTTTGACACCCGACACTGTGTCAACTGAATCGCGTGGAACGGGGCGTTGAAGGCATAATGCGATTTTCGTATTTGTGTAATAGTAAAAAATAATCATCATCATCGCCAGGTATTTAGAGTCCGTTGCAGGAGCACGACCCTCTGTAATATACTGAGTGTTCCGACGCTAATTCTATTATTATTTTGCTAATTATTGAGCATCTTTATGCAAATAAACAGTTATAGAAAATGTTTTAGGCTAACGTTTTGAATTTTCGCAGACTCATCATAGATTAAAGAAAGAAACAGATGTGAAAGTTAAATCACGAGGTTATAAATGAAAGACATTATGCCTAAAACACCCGGTTTGACAATGGATCATAGACAAATTAGTCTATCCTTAAATTAAGACTACGATTTAGACAAATCTCAACAATGTCGCGGTATTTTACACATAGTTATTCGCTTTAAAATATACAACAGATATGAATGTGTAAAATTTCTAAAATTAAATTAATTATGAGAATGGACTTTCAGATGTGTTTTGAGTTGAAAGTATATTCAATTGTTAGTTTTATCAAGGAATGTATTTTAAGATATTTTTTCTAAACAAGGCGAGATTCAAAGAAACGAAATTAATTATTGTGTTAATAACACTACCTATTTGTTTGAAATAAATAATATAAACCCTTCATTAGAGTCTAATTTCAGTTATCAAACATATTTTACCCCAACCCGATCATAGAATAATGAATACTATGTCGTACAGAAGAATCACACCTTTCTCCTTAACTTTCAACCTCCTCATTTCGGTTAAAATACATTTTCCCCCAAGAAGCAAATTGCAAATTAGCTTAGCAAGAATTATTTAATCAGTTTGCGAATTAAAATCACCATAGCCTGCTCACACAAGCGATAGTGAGCTGTGTGACAACTTGCGAAAACCTATTTTACTACGACCGCCATGTTGTCTGTGACACTTTTGACAGGTCCTTGTCAACACCTGGAAGTCCTGCCCCATAAAAGGTACATAACTGACTAGCTAGTTCAATCACAAATTCGCTAAAACAAATCTTAAATTATAATTATACTTATTTGCAAAGATGTCTGGTGCAGTTACTTTCAACTCGAATTAATTAAAAACAATAAAAAATAAAATTGATGTACAATTAAGTCTTTAAAAAATTATAGCTTAAAAAAAAATATTACAAATAAAATATTCGTCATTAGCCTTCATGACTAGTTGTATTCTTAGACTAGTTATAATAAAAAGCGACTAGTTACTAGTACAAGCATTTTCTAGTTGAAACTGACTGCACTGAGCTGAAGCACCGTTAGACCGAATGCGTTAACTTAATTTTAATTACATTTACTCTGCGTTTGTGGATGATTATAAAAAAGATAGGATATTAAAAAAATAATACATAATAACTAAAAATAAAATAAAAATAAAACACATTACTAAGAAGTAGCTTGTTATTGGGATCATTTGCCCTGAAAATACAAAAAAAAACACTAATTTTCTCCGTAATATTGAAGATAAAGGCGACTACTTCTACGTTCTTTATCACGTTTGAGTCATTATTTTTATGACTGTTTGAGCATAATAAACTGTGTAATCCTTTATTTTTGTATAATAAAAGTAGTATTGAGGTTATCTGATAAAGTTAATAATATTTTTGTTCTATCCAGGACTTCTGAAAAACTGTTTTTTTTTATTGTGAAGTGAAAACTTTACAAATTGGCGAAAGTGTAAAGAAAATTGAGAAGTTCTCTTTTATGTTACTTTCCAAATACCTGATCCCATGCTTCAAACGCAGAGTAAACACACCAGATCTCCGAAACGTGTACAAAATCGGCTATTTATATGACTAAATAATAAAAAAACACACTGTCCACACGACCTAGCGCTACGACACCTACATAATATTCTCTCTTGTCGGAACCTTACAAAAAAGCTTACAAAAACTCAACGAAATAAACTACATTCATTTATTTTACAAGTATTTTTTTGAAAGCACAAATTGTATAAAACGAATTTGTTTGACTCGGCGATTGGAGTCCATTTTAATACTTATAAATACTAACATTTAAGCCGCCATTTTGACGACAATTTTAGGTTATAACAATTAATATTAGACTATTATCCTTCTAGATATGTTAATTGGTATTGCATAAAGCCACATAGTTTATTACTTCAAAGGCAATTGAAGAGACTTTACACGTCTCATGGTTACAATCTAAAACATCGATTATTAGTTTCTCTATTTCGTTTATAGAACTTTTAACACTATAAAATATGTCTTTTATTCTTAAATTATTAATATTGCTCACGAGAGAGGTAAGATATAAGTTTCCTATAAGCATTCTATCCAGGCGAAGTACGAAATTAAAATATGTATATTTCACAACAAGTTTGGTATGCATCCGCCGAGCCAGACATTTCGTTCGACTTACCACGTTGAGGGTAGGTGAACTCTGGGGCTCGTAGTCGCTTACTTAACCTAAAGCACGTTACTCATAGACTACTACACAGTTGTACCTGCAATAGACGGACTTATTACATTTTAATTCCTAAACAGAACAAAAAAAATCAAATTTTTAATACCGAACAGTTTGACTTTGGTATGGACGGCTTGAACCGTTTAGTCCGGACCGTAACGCCATGCCGAATAACGCCTAATCGATAAAACTGATCGAAGCCACAATTCATCAATTAAGTAACGTAAGAGTTAGGTTTGTCGATATAGATTTAAGAGAATTAGTTTTTAGTATATTCGGTTTTCGAAAGTTAGGTTAGGTTTTCTAGTTATGTTAAGTTAGGTTTTCGAGTTAGGTTTCGGCACAGCGTTATACAGTCTTAGTCCGTGCTATGGCAACACAAACGTCTTAATAGCGTAGTCCAACAATTTTAACCGAGCATGTTCTCGCTTCAATTTCTTAATCAAAAAGCAAAGCCTTAACAACGTTTGATAAAAAACATTGACTACCGCACTTGACAATGCCCAGGGTTGACCTATCTTCATCAACAGCTTACATCTAGTGTTAATGCTCTTGGTCCGAAGACTCGACGTTTTGTTCGGTTTGCGCGAACTTGAGGAATACCTGCTCTAGCGTTGTCTGGCTGAAGCTGTACTCTACTATGTTCAGCTTCTCTTTAGCTGTAAAAAGAATTAATAATAAAAATTAATTATTTTTCAGCACCACGTTGGGCGCCAATTTTTTAATTGGCGCCCAACGTGGTGTTTTTATTATTATTAAAGAAACTCAGATACTTGCTATAAATATGAAATAGTTAGTATGCAACGTTGTTTTCTCTATATTACTAGTAAGTGTAACTCACAATATGAAAATAGTTAAATTAATTTTNACGCTTTGTATCTTCGTCCATTAGTAGGTTCTTGGCCAGCGCGTTGCTATGTCTGTCGAATTTCTGCCTGTACTTTTTGCTGTAGTTGCTCTTCCTCCTTAACAGTCGTCATCTCAAGGTATTCATGTATTTCTGCGTTTCTCACAAACCAGTGGGCGCTGGAGACTGTTCTCAATGCAATGTATGTATTTCCAGGTTCGAGTTGCTAGCAGATCCCCAGAGTTCTATTCCGTAGGTCCAGATAGGTTTGATAATAGACTTGTGGACGAGCAGTTTGTTGTTGATAGAGAGTCGGGATTGTCGGGTTCCTGAGTTGCATATTTGCTTCAGTTCTCTTGGCTTTAACATGATTTACCCAGATTAGCCTTCTATCAAGGTGCAAACCCAGGTACTTCACAGTGTTATTGGTTGGCAAAGGTTTGCATTTTACCCTAAGTGAGCTACTTTTTTTAAATTGAATTCATTTATTTTACAAGTATTTTTTTGAAAGCACAAATTGTATAAAACGAATTTGTTTGACTCGGCGATTGGAGTCCATTTTAATACTTATAAATACTAACATTTAAGCCGCCATTTTGACGACAATTTTAGGTTATAACAATTAATATTAGACTATTATCCTTCTAGATATGTTAATTGGTATTGCATAAAGCCACATAGTTTATTACTTCAAAGGCAATTGAAGAGACTTTACACGTCTCATGGTTACAATCTAAAACATCGATTATTAGTTTCTCTATTTCGTTTATAGAACTTTTAACACTATAAAATATGTCTTTTATTCTTAAATTATTAATATTGCTCACGAGAGAGGTAAGATATAAATTTCCTATAAGCATTCTATCCAGGCGAAGTACGAAATTAAAATATGTATATTTCACAACAAGTTTGGTATGCATCCGCCGAGCCAGACATTTCGTTCGACTTACCACGTTGAGGGTAGGTGAACTCTGGGGCTCGTAGTCGCTTACTTAACCTAAAGCACGTTACTCATAGACTACTACACAGTTGTACCTGCAATAGACGGACTTATTACATTTTAATTCCTAAACAGAACAAAAAAAAACAAATTTTTAATACCGAACAGTTTGACTTTGGTATGGACGGCTTGAACCGTTTAGTCCGGACCGTAACGCCATGCCGAATAACGCCTAATCGATAAAACTGATCGAAGCCACAATTCATCAATTAAGTAACGTAAGAGTTAGGTTTGTCGATATAGATTTAAGAGAATTAGTTTTTAGTATATTCGGTTTTCGAAAGTTAGGTTAGGTTTTCTAGTTATGTTAAGTTAGGTTTTCGAGTTAGGTTTCGGCACAGCGTTATACAGTCTTAGTCCGTGCTATGGCAACACAAACGTCTTAATAGCGTAGTCCAACAATTTTAACCGAGCATGTTCTCGCTTCAATTTCTTAATCAAAAAGCAAAGCCTTAACAACGTTTGATAAAAAACATTGACTACCGCACTTGACAATGCCCAGGGTTGACCTATCTTCATCAACAGCTTACATCTAGTGTTAATGCTCTTGGTCCGAAGACTCGACGTTTTGTTCGGTTTGCGCGAACTTGAGGAATACCTGCTCTAGCGTTGTCTGGCTGAAGCTGTACTCTACTATGTTCAGCTTCTCTTTAGCTGTGAAAAAGAATTAATAATAAAAATTAATTATTTTTCAGCACCACGTTGGGCGCCAATTTTTTAATTGGCGCCCAACGTGGTGTTTTTATTATTATTAAAGAAACTCAGATACTTGCTATAAATATGAAATAGTTAGTATGCAACGTTGTTTTCTCTATATTACTAGTAAGTGTAACTCACAATATGAAAATAGTTAAAATAATTTTTACAAGATGTAAAAATGATAATTCAAGGCAACGGTTTTGAAGCACTTTGCCTATGTTTTTCTAAAAGAGTTATCTAATAACTCTAACTAAAACTTAGGATCATATTAAATTGTAAGGTCAACAAAAGTGGCGCCCAACGTGTCAAGCAAACTTGGCGGCGCACTGTAGCAGACGAGGCGAAGAAAATCGGCAAGAATTGGAGCGAGATCAAACGCGAAGCTCAAGACCGAACGCGATGGAGGAGTTGTGGACGCTCTCTGCCCCATCTAGGGGACGTAAGACCTTAAGTCAAGTAAGTCAACGTGTAACTCACCATCCTCAATCTGCTGGAAACACCTGGCGAGGCTGGAGACCGAGGACTGAGGGACCGAGAAGACCAGCCGCTCGGCGAAGTTCTCCTCCAGGATCGCCGATGGGAAGATCTGGCTCACTAACGCTATAGCTGCCTCTGCACTGAGCCCTCCGCCGCTTGACTCCGTCCTGATTCAACATTAAGGTTGATTAGTCATCATCATGACAAAATATCATGTTAAGAGACTTTTTTCACATAAAAAATAATTATACACTAAACACCAGAGACAAAAACCGGTATCACGACTGCAAATATCTGTATAATCACAAAGTTTTATTTTGATTACTTCTAACAGAAGATTTGAAATTTTGAAGTGGCGCCCAACATGGGAGATCCCATTAAAGGTCACGCCTCAAACAAATTCCTAATGTAAATTATAAACAAAGAGGAAAGATTTTAAATGCGTCACAAAAACACTGCTTTGGAATTCTTAGGCTTGATTTTACTAAAGTCGGATAACTTTTAACTGAAGAATAAACTTGTCATTTGGACATATTTCCCATATTGAAACTGTCAATGTGCCAGTTATACCAGGAGTTATTTTCGGATAAAAGAGAATCGTCCGCCACGGCATATGCTGAGTGGGGTCCCATTGCAGTGGGCATCTTGTTTGTGAATGGGTGGCACTGCTCAGTTTACTCTTGTTTTTATTTTTTCTGCCACTGCAGCACTGTCATGTCTATGTAATTGCCTGTATTTGTGTGATGTCCATTAAAATAAATGTATCTTTCTTTCTTTCTAGAATAAAACCGCCTAAATTGTGTCTCTTTTGTGTCTCCCATTTCTTTCTTGTCTTATTTTGTGTGTTGTATACTACATTAGTGTTATACCTGTGGTGCTGTTGCCTCGCGGGGGGCGGGGTGCCGGCCACGAGCGGCGTGTGTATGCTGACGTCCACCGCCTCGGCCTCCGCTTCCGCCTCTGTCTCGGGGCACACTGACCCGCCGCCGGAGCCCCCTGGGTGAACAAGGGAATACATGCTCGTAAATAAGGCCCTTTTCACATGTCCCGGTTGCCGGCTAACCGGCGCCGGGTACCCGGTGGTGAAGTGTATGGGCATGGTACGTAGCTTTCACATGTACCGGCGTAATTAATCCGGCATGCCCATACACTTCACGACCGGGTGTGAAAAGGGCCTAAAGGCTAGCCTGTCTTGGGGAAAACCAAACTGACCCGCCACCGGAGCCCCTTGATCGAACAAATCAAAAGAACAAAATCAATACCTTGACCTCTTGACAGCTATGCTGTCACGACGATACTGAGTGGGTGTCCTTATTGCTGACAATTTTTTTAAAGAATTTTTTTAAGTAAGTATACAAGGCAGATATTTGACTGCAATCGCACTGGTGTTAAGTGAGATGCAGTAGTGTAGGATAGTACATATCTGCCCTGTAAGTGCCTATTCACTCTCGCCGGATTATAGTGTTCAGGAAAGACAGCAGCAGCAGGCAGCGAATTCTAGTCCCTAGCTGTCTTTTTATAATGTCTTTTTTATTGACAAATAAAGTGTTTTCATTCATTTAACAAGGGAGTACATGCACCATGAATAGTATTAATTGAGGTGGACATCGTTGAAATCTAGTTCGTTGTTCATGGCAGGCAAATTATCTGTGCCAAGTAGCGATGTTATTTTATCTGTGCTAAATGGAGTAGTGATAAAATAACGTGCATGGTTGTCAAAAAAAATTATGTTATTACAATCTTATTTCAATTTCAATAAGATAATAGTGCGATATTTAACATAATAAAGAAATGACAATGAAATTCTTTTTGGTTACAATGAGTCATATCATTTGGTCTACATACCTGCATACTTAAGGCCCGGTTTCCACCACGGCGGAGCGGAGCAGAGAAATGTTTTGAATAACCAATCAGATTTAATTATTTGCACATCTCCACTCCGCTCCGCTTCGGTGGAAATGGATCGAGCGGAGAAGAGAGAAGTGTCGGGCGCACTCATTTTTCTATAGAATTTAACACCAATGGCGGCGCGGCGCCAAGCAGTGCGATGTTTCACAGACAGCAATAGACTGACAGCTGACACCTACGCACAGCTCATGCTTCAACCACACCAACGCGTGTATAGTTCCAAAATACTGAACTGTCCTATGCATGACATTGACAGTGGGGCGCCACCGTCAATACCGGATCGCTGGTTCCGATTTTTGCCATGTTAGAAACCATATAGTTGAACGATGGTAGCGCCCCCCTGTCATTGAGTTCATCATCATCATCATCATCATCATCACAGTTCAGCGTGGGACATCTATTAGATCGCCATCGCCGATGCGACCACGGCGCGATCATAGGGAAATGACAGTCATAGTGAACTGTCATGGGTCGCGCAACCTGTCATTGGCCTTTAATCGCGCCGGCGATGGCGCGCTGCACGCGTTAGTGTGGTTGAAGCTTCACACATCCCTCTCTCCGCTCCGCTTTGGTTGAAATAGCTTGCCAGCTTCGCCGCACATCTCCTCTCATCTCCGCTCTGCTCTGCCTTGGTGGAAACCGGGCCTAAAATTGTATTATAAGTAAGTTATTCTTACCCTCATCAGCTTCCCCTAACGAGGGAGAATTCTCTGTCGACCGGAGCGGCGATGGAGACATCGATAGCTCGGGCTCCATCATCTGTACAAATAATTTCATTATTTTAATAATAATTATCACAGTAAAGACGATAAAGAGTAAGAAGTAAAGAAGAGTGTATTATAATGTAACAAAATCCCGAATAAGGTCATAGCACACTTATCAACCCGGAAAGGGCTCAACACTGTATCGCCTTTCACTGCGCTGAACCGCGAGGCGAGGCGTTTACGTTACGGTGTGGATAAGTGATTCCGAGTTTCATACAAAAAAAATTGATCGCCTCGAGTTGATACGATTACGATCCGTTTCCGAATTGATAGGTGTGCTTCGTCCCTAAGAAGTAAAGAAGAGTATACCTACTATAAAATGTAACAACATTCTGAATAACAAGATCTTTGGGTATAGAAATAAAGTTTAGCTCTCAATTTTTTTGGGACCAAATCCACGTATAGATGACCCACGCTGAACTGTCCCGCCAAACTCAATGACAGGGGGGCGCTACCATCGTTCAACTATATCAATATGGTTTCCAACATGGCAAAAATCTGAACCAGCGATCCGGTATTGACGGTGGCGCCCTACTGTCAATGTCATCGACAGGACAGTCCAGTATTTTGGAACTATAGTAGTTATTAGGCAATGTTAAAGGTTAAATAATAAGCCGTGTGGTGACGGCAGAGTAGAATACATTTGTCACCAACCCCTACTCTTCCCGCGGGTGTCGTAAGAGGCGACTTAGGGACTACACATCAAACAGAGAATGGGCAGCAGCGCTCTCTGAAAAACATCAATCTTTTAAACTGCGATCTCCAACCCGCCTGCCAAGCGTGGAGATTATGGCAAAACCCTCCACTATAGTGGAGGAGGCTCATAGTCCAGCAGTGGACTGTAAAGGGCTGTTGATGATGATGATGAAAGGTTAAATAGTTAGTGCTTGTTTTAAGAGTTTATAATATCATACCACTTTCTGATTACTCTGCCCAATCTTCATTTCTAACGTGTAGCCAGCGCCATACAAATTCTTCAAGTGTTGTGTCGAACCAATACATCTAAAAAACCAAATACCCAATTTAGGATTTTCCTAGTAATTATCAAAGATACTAAGATATTAAATAAGTGTTTGGAGGGGTTCCTTACCTAAGACCACCTTTAACCATAATCCCAACTCTAGAACATAAAGCATCAGCCTCTTCCATGGAATGTGTCGTCAGAATAGCACCTTTCTTACCCTGAAAGACAAAAAACATTTACTTAGGTAAATGATGAGTGACGAATTTTAAATTCGAGCTGAACTCGATGTGCACATTATTTTCAGGACGGAGCAGCGCCCTTTTCAGGACGCCGGGAGTATTACACACCACCCTGTCCCCCGGCAGTGTTGACGGTGCGCTAAGCATTTCCTCCACGACAAAAAAAAAGACCTGAGAGCTGGCTACGGGACTATTCCCACCTCTCGTTCCCACCACTGCAACTCCTGTGTAGCCAGGATCTACAGCTTGACCGCCACAAAAACCCAACCAATGAAGGTCAAGTTTGTCCCGAGGGAAAGTTAAACTGTTATTGGACCCGCAACGAAATTAATCAGAAGAACATAGGAGGAGTTCGAAATTAAAGACATATGAGCTGGCTAGGGATGGTGTGCCACAGGTTATCGAGCGACTGCTGCCTCTATGCTGTGAGCACTAGTACGAGGGTCGTTGCTCGTTGAGCTTTGCCGACCGATTGTCATCTTATAGGCCGGCAACGCACCTGTAACGCCCCTGGGACTGCGGGTGTCTATGGGTGACGGTAATTACTTACCATCAGGTGATCCGTTTGTTCGTTTGCCTCCTGTCACATAAAAAAAACCTTTGTTCTGTGGGTGCAAAGTATTGCTAAGGTACCTGGAAGCTGGCCAGGATGGTGTCCCACAGGAACCGGTTGCTGCGTAAGTCTATGCCTCTGGAGGCTCTTTGAGGGACTGCCAAGCATGCTGTGAGCGCTAAGGTGTAAGATTCGCTCGTTGCATGGATCATAGCCAGCAGTTACTTAGCGACTATAACTTCCATATTATCCTGGTTACTACCACTCTTTGGCCCTAAATATTATGGTGCAGATTAGCTTGTACTATACCTGGAAGCTGGCCAGGATGGTGTCCCACAGGAACCGCTTGCTGCGCGGGTCCATGCCGGTGGACGGCTCGTCCAGCAGCACGACGCGCGGCGTGCCCACCATGGCGAGCGCGAACGACAGCTTGCGGCGCGTGCCGCCCGAGCATTCGTCCGCGTTCTTGCTCGCGTGCTCCATTATTTGCAAGCCGTTTAGGTACGCGTCCACTATCCTGAAATTGAATTGTTTAATAAGTCAATAGTTAGATTCGAGGATTTACAAAAGTAGCCTCTGTAAGCACATTATAACAATAGTGTAATGTAGCTTGTCTTTAAATCCAAAATTATTTGAAACAGACAAAATGAGCCGAAAATATTATTTTGATCCGTTTCAACTTTTCATAATTATCCTGTATATTTTTTTTTTCGATTTTGGTTAAAGTACCTAATAATGTGCTACAGTTATCGTTGGCACGAGGCATAAAAGAAAAGAATCAAACAAGAACTCAAATTGCGTTAAAAAAACTTCCAGTGGAATTCGGCTAAGGGAGAATTAATATGCGATCATCGGCCTATACTCTCCTACCCGTCTGGTGAGCATAGACTAGGCTAAATTCTGGTCGTGTTCCTGAAGTGGAAACTAAATGACCTGATGATGATTGTTAAAGAAAATCATGGGCATTTCTACTTCTCTTAGTATACTTGCTGCTTTGCTTGTCCCGTCCTGGACTTGACTTGACGTGACGACCTGGGCGTGCCGCAGTAGCCTAACATCTGGAACGTAGACGCCTCCGGGTTGTCGATACTTGCCTGAATGTAAACGCCTGTGGGTTATTGATGGCCTGGGTATGGCATGGCATGGCTTACCTGGGCGTGTCGCTCTTGCTGACGCCTCGGATAGCGGCGTAGCACTCGATGTGCTCGCGAATGGTGACGTTCTTCCACAGCGCGTCGTGCTGCGGACAGTAGCCTAGCATCTGGAACGTCGACGCCTGCGGGCTGTCGATGCTCTCGCCGCCTAGCATCACCTGCAAGGAGACAATGGTGTTTAAAGCGAGCCAAATGAAGAAGGAAGCTGCATCTAAATTGGTTCACCCGTTTAAGATTTACGAGATCACAGATTCATTCACAATAGACTAGTTTCTTAAAAAAAATTTTTTAGTCCGTCATGTTTAAATCAAAAAATATTGGACACATATATTTTTGTTTGTCAATCTAACAAATAATTACATAGTTATGGTGCGTTGAAGTTCCGCACGCGTCACAACGTGCGGCACTTTTATGCACGCATTGACGTCACGGGCCTCTTCTTATGAACTTTGGCGCGCTTTATCTCTTTAAATGTTCATTAGTTTGAAAAAGTGAAAAATACGTGTAGAGTATTTTTTGATAAGTTAACTGACTGACTAATTAAAACTCTTGCTTTTTGACCCAGGAAACATCCCTATTCAGACACATGTGGTCTAACTGATAACACCCTTTTTCGTCGGGAGTTGAATAAGCTGGGCAAACACATCCTCACCCCACAGGATGTAAAGCATATTTTATCGCCCCTCAAAAGAAACAACACTACATTACAGAGGCAGCAGTTTATAGCAAACTATAGCAGCAATCAAAACGCAGGACACTAAGGAGGACAGAATAGAACCGATACCTACCAGTCGCAGTGACACTTTGACTACATTGAACTTTCAAGAGTGCGTGGATTTTACCTGCCTAGCTCGCACTTATTACGTGTCTCTGTCATGTAAGTTATAAATTGCTGTATTTGACTAAAAAAGAGGCTGACAGTGGTGAATGTGATGATTGAGTACCTATGTTGTCCCGAAGTGGTGATAGGCCAAGCTATATTTGGGACGTGTTTAAGAGCGTTTACGCCGTTTGGCGCAAAAACAGTACTTTTTCAACTCGTTACAATCATTAACCTGTAATACTACAAATATGTTATAGGTATAAATAGTTACGCAATTTCGTCGTATAAATAGTTAATTGAGAAAATATTGCGATTAGTTTAGTATTTAAGAATTCTATCAAGATAAGTCCACACAGGTTTTATAAANATTTTTTAGCACCCCCCATTTTTGTAGTCAAGAGTCGAGCTCAGTCGGTGTCTAAGGGTCCTCCTAGTAGATGACGCCTCCGAAGCTTCTACACAACGTCCCGATTTTTTTCTGGGTCTCTTACCGCCCCCCTTTAAGCCTGCAGCGCCCACAAGGGGGCGTTATCGCCCACTTTGGGAAAGACTGATCTAGACGACATCACTAGGTATCCACTCACATGCACAACAAGGACCGGCGCGTTGGCGCTGGGCTGCTGCATGACGGCGGCCACGCGCCGGCGCTCGCGGCGCACTACTGCTGCGTTTGTTTATCTAGACGACTTCCCTATCGCTCGCGCGTAATTATGTTGCTATCGCGCTCGCACACTCACTGCGGGCGCCCGTCGCACAGTCGCGACAAGGATGGGTAGCTAGGGGTCATTGGACAAAATTCTACGTGCTTACGACATCGCTATCCACTCACATGCACAACAAGCACGGGCGCGTTGGCACTGGGCTGCTGCATGACCGTCTCGCGGCGCACGTCCTCGTCCTCGCCCGTCTCGCAGCCGCCCATGTCCGTCTCCAGGTCTACTGGGCTCTCGCTACTGCTGCGTTTGTTTATCTAGACCAGTGGTTCCCAAACTTATTTAGTCTAGTGCCCACTTTGAGAATAAATTATTTTTTAGCACCCCCCATTTTTGTAGTCAAGAGTCGAGCTCAGTCGGTGTCTAAGGGTCCTCCTAGTAGATGACGCCTCCGAAGCTTCTACACAACGTCCCGATTTTTTTCTGGGTCTCTTACCGCCCCCCTTTAAGCCTGCAGCGCCCACAAGGGGGCGTTATCGCCCACTTTGGGAAAGACTGATCTAGACGACATCACTAGGTATCCACTCACATGCACAACAAGGACCGGCG